GCGGAAGAGGAGCGGAGCGACTTCATGGCGCCGCCGGTGAGCGGCCTGCGGGAACTGCGGAGCCGGCGCGGCGAGATGCGGAGCCGGGTGGAGCTGCTGCTCATGGAGACTCAGGCGCGGGTGTGCCGCGCGCTGGCGCAGCTGGACGGCGCCGCCGCCTTCTCCGTGGATAGCTGGGAGCGCCAGGAGGGTGAGGATCCTCCCCGCCCCTCGGGCCCTGCCTTCCCCCACCAAAGCAGCCCGCCCGGGCAGCTTCTCATCAGGTGATCCCCTGTCTTCCTGCCCTCCTCCCCATACCTTTTTATTTCCCCCTCGGTGTCCCCACCAAGTCCTCCTGGTCAACCGCCTCCTGGCTCTGCCCAAGCGGTCTGTGGATCACAGCGACTGTCAACTAGCGGGTGGTGGCCCAACAGTGGGGTGCAAGAGTGTATGGAAGGGCCCTGAACCAGCTTTACGAATGAGTCGCCAAACTTTAAACGTCGCTTCTCCTGTAAAGGAGGAAAATGGGGAAAATGGTGACTTTTCCCTTGCAGGCTGGCGGAGTCCAGCCTGCGAGGGGCTGCCTGGGGCCTTCCTGCCCCACACCCTGCGGGTTGGGTGTGAGGGGCACTGGGTCGGGACTGATCATCGACGTTTACAAACAGGTCCTGGTACAAAACAGGTTGAGAACCACTGGTCTGTAAGACCAGGAAGAAGGCTCTGGCAGGGAAGAAACCCAGGAGGAGTGTGGGGCTGCTTTCCTGGCACTTCTCCGATTGCATATCCAGATAGTGTTTCACTGGGTCGGCCTCCACAGGCTCCCTTGACTCCTTCAGGGGGCAGTGGGTGCTGGCTGGTGTGCACTGTTTGGTGTCCCTTTCCAATGCCCTAGCTATTATCTGTGACCTCACTGTTTTCTTTTTTCTTGTCCCATGCATTTACTTGATGTGTCTTCAGTAGCCTCCTTTATTCAGGGAGGCTGATAGTTCCCTGTCATGGGCAATAGCCCATGATCTTCTCTCGACACATCAAATAGGTCTGAAGGAGGCTGTGGCCAGGAGGGTCCTCCAGGACTGTGGGGCCGCTTTCCTCATCCTAATTTGCTTCCGTCTCCAAGCAGAGTATCACTGGGCAGTGTCTGCTGGCTCCTTCATGTTGCTTGAGGGCCAGTGGGCACTGTCCAGTGTGCTCTACTCAGTGTCCCCCCTTGGCACTCTTGTTTTGAACCTGTGACCAGAACTCCCATCCCTGTTTTTTTTATCATTGGTCCCACAGAATCTGTTGGCACTTTTTCCTGTATCCTCCCTGCCTGAGGGAGGCTAATAAGAAACTTGGTGGGCTATGCCCACGTTCTTAAAGGTGACAAATAGGTCCGTTGTCTTGTCTGTTCACGACCAGGTTGATCCCTTCCCCTCCCTCCTCACCCCAGAGTACAGGTGAGGGCCAGTCAGGAGCAGGAATCAAAGGGGCCTCCACCCCTTTGTGGGGTGGGGGCAAGTGCCCCCACCTGGAGCTGCCCCTGGATTCCTCTGTGCCAGCCTCCATATCTTCCATGACTTGTTTCATCTCTAGGATATATTATTTGCTGTGCTGCATGAAAAGGCCATGTTGTTGCAGACATGCTGCATGCTACGGGAAAGGCTGAGAGAATGAGGCATGTTAAGCATGCAGAAAAGGCTGTTAAGTGATAGCAGTATTCACATGTCTGACAGGCTGCCATAAGGGAGTGGATGTTCCCTCCTGTGTTGTAGAGGGTAGGCGATGAAGCAATGGCTTTACGTTGCAGCAAAGTAGATTTACATCAGAAAGAAAAAACTTCCTTATTGGTAGAACAAGGAGGCAGCAGAAAAGACAGTCCCAGGGAAATTGTGGAATCTCCTTTCACTGAAGGTTTAGGAGAAGAGGTTGGGGAAGTGTTTTCAGGGATGATCTGAGTAGCATATATTCATTCATACCGAGGGCTGAGATTCCTTATGGCCCTGTTATTTTTCGGCCAGAGTGTCTAGGTGCTGTTCTGCTTTAGCTTGCTTAGTGACACAATATTCCCCAAGGCAGAAAGTCTGGATGTTGTTTAAAATCACCTGGAAAAGAAGAGTGCTGTGTAATCATGGCTGAAATAATTTAACCAGATCATGCCTGACCATAAAAATATGCTGTTAGCCCGATGTAAAGAAAGAGAAAACCTACCAGTGAGGTCAAGGAACATGTTTATAAAAACTGGCAGGACCTCTCCAGGTCTGAAAGAATTGGCTATTGGTCTGTGGACCTTGTTATCTGATTAAATTTGAAGATCCCTCTGCTGTTTGACTGTGAAAACTAGTTGTTTTCCATATCTCCCTGTCCTCCCACCCCCAAACCTTTGCTCCCCTCAGTAGCTTCCTAAGTAGGAGAAAGGAGTAGGGGGAAATGGTTTGTACCACTTTGTGCCTCCTTGTATATCTCCAACTTTGCATCTCTGCTGCCCCTTTTGGGTCCTCCTTTTACTTGAACAACTTTGGTGTCTGCAGACAGGTTGCTTTCCCAAGCAACACCGTGATACTGACCTGATAGTGACAGTTCTCTTGTTGCTGTCCTGGTTCTGAATAGAAGTAGTGAAAGGGGCTGGAGCCTTGTTAATGTAACACTGTTGTTCCTTAGCACGCTGGTTCTCAACTTTTTCCTACCGGGACCCATTTGCAAAAGTTCATGGCCTGTCCCGACCTACACTTCCCTGGCTCTGCCAGTGGGTGAACCACAATCCCCAGCCTCCCTGGGCCATGCTAGTATCCTTCACTCATGACCTGCAGCCCCTGACTCACCCCCAGCCCTGCTGGTGTCTCTCACTCCCAACCCACAGTCCCCTATGCCACTCCCCCCCCCCAGCTCTGCCAGAGGAGCCCCCAGCTGTCCCTGTCCTTCTTGGGCCAGAGCGTGGTGGCTCCAGCTCATGCGGGCAGCAGCAGAGCAAGTCCAGCCCTGGCAGCCTCTGCCCTGGGCTGGGGCTGCTATACCACGCCAGGCAGCCTGGTCACAGCAGCCCCCCCAGCAGCGTCTTCTAGCTGCCCTGCCCCTGTGAGCACCCAGCCCAGCCTTGCAGCTCTCCCCTGTCCCTTCCCTCAATGGAAGGGGCAGGCGCCTTGCTGCCACCACTCTGCCCTGCTGCGGTCTCAGCACTTTTCTGGGATCAGTGTTTCTGAACCTGTGGCTCACGACCCTCTGAAATCTTGTGACCCACTTTTGGGTCACAGCCTATGGGTTGAAAAATGCTGCCTTAGCAAACTTATAAATAGCTGTGTAAGCATAGAAGCTCTCTGTAAATTTGGAGGGATTGTGCCTGGCCATCTGCTCATATTCTGAGGACCCTTTGTCACTAAGATGCTTCATTCATATTGCTGGCAAAAGGAAGAGAAGCTTTTCCAAGGTTTCTAATTGACTTGGGGTAATCTTAGTATTTAAAAGCAACTGGCTTTGGTAAAACACCTCTCTTAAATGATGACAGTGAATTAAGAACGAAGTGGGATATTCTAGTTTTTTGTATTGCATCTTGCTAAATAGGACCTCATTTTCCTTTTGAAGGTGTGGAGCTGTGTAAAACTAATTTAGATTCAAAATACAATACTATTGCTACCCAAGCAATGATATCCCTTCTTGCTGCTTTCAGTAGCTTTGTCCTGAGGAGGTTTTAAGCAAAGCCTCTGAAGTTAAAAACAGGCTGTTATATTCTGCTCAGAGTGACAAGTGAGTGGTATAGCTGCTTTTCTAACCAGCTTTTAATAACTCTTTTCTATGTGGTTCCAATGACAGAATAAATTGGTTCTCTAAGTAGTTCACAGTCTGCGGTCATCTGGTGAAATGTACTGCTTCAGGAAGTCATCACTACCAAATACTATAGGTGGATTTTTAAAAGCTGGATAATTTTATGAGTAACACTTGTTAGTCATTCACAGTAAGATTCTTCTTTTTATCACGTTTTAGAGGCTACAGTGATCAGTATAAGAATATGAAAAACTGTACTTTTCTTTCTGTCCTTCCCCCTCTCCCTCACTCCACGCTGTCCTCTACCAACGCTGCATTACAAAACTGGCAAATTACATCAAGGGCAGTGGGGGAGGGCTCCAGCAAATGAGTGAGGAGAAATCTCATTAATTGAATGGTCACTTTTATGCTACTAGTAAGTGGTCAAGAATTTTACGCTGTATAATAGTTTCATAGTTTCTAGGGTCGGAAGGGACCTGAGCAGATCATCTAGTCTGACCCCCTGCCGTGGCAGGAAAGAGTACTGGGGTCAAAC